AGATTACTTAGCAAAGCTATCAAAAATAATTCATTTCTTAATTTTCTTAAAATTCAATAACGAGTGTTTCAGAATTACCGTAGTGAAATGTAACATGTATGGACAGTGCACCATAATTCGCCCCTGAAGGGGATAATGCCACAGTGGGTAGTTTCTCACTGCTGTGAAACAAAGGCACATGACTGCCCTTTCCTCGTAGAAGCTATGCCTTTTTTTTTTATATAAAAACCTGCCGATATTATGAGCCACCACACATCAATACATATGGTTTCTGTGCCTACACACAGAGTGTGCTTAGCCTTCAACATAGCAGAAATACACAAAGGTGGCCCCCCGATGGCTGCAGATTTTGAATAAGGTCTACAGTCGCCGACCGATTTTCTGGACTCCGAAAATTCGGACTTAAGGGGGAGATGCTACTCGAAAAACGATTTTCTTTAATAAGAGTCTGAATTTAACACAAATTGGCATGCTACTAGAGTTTTTTCTCCTCTTTTCAAATATGTCATTTATTTTCATGTAGATTGCTTGGTTTTCTTTCTGCAGGTCAGATACTGCAAAATTATGGCCATTGTTATGCAACAATTCTGACCTACAAAAATTTGAGATAAAGCATGCAGATATAGCTGACTATGATCCTTTGGAACTGTAGAGTGCAAAAAACTATATAAACTTTGAGTGTAAAAAGGTGAAATACAATAATAAAATAGAAAAATTTACTATGGCTCTAGTTGCCAAGGGCTTTCAATGTTATGTAATTTTTGAAAAACAATCAAGCAGCACTGACTATCTGAATACATACTTGCACTCTACGGGCCTTCATCATGCTATGTGCAAAATTTCATAGAGGTATGACAATTCTAAGTATACGAACTAGCGTGTATAAGAAGCACAGATCACACAAAACTGCAAAAAGAGAAAAACGCATTTGAAAGTTTGAAACATTTTTTTTTATCACATAATTGTTAGAAATGCATAATCTTTGGCCATAATGTTCAACAGAACTTTGAAAAGCACTGCAAGTTACTACAACTGTCCTGCAGCATAGGTTGTGCCCTCACGGTCCTTGCGAGCATTCTCTTCTAGCCGCGCCCTTTTCACTCCACGACGACGGTGGGCCCTTGCTTCTGCTGTCAGACGCGCGGACATTCTCTTGATGCGCCTCGCATCGCGGGAATCACTGAAAGTAACTAGATTTCTAGATGGCAGTATGTTGAGCTCTTCCAGTATGTGCTCGAAAGTAGCATGACCCTTGTTGAACCACAGGATTGCCATAGCTGCGGCAGTCTCGACAACCATTCGGGAGACAAACTTAGTCTTGGGGCAAAGTAGCCAAACTTTGCTGTTCAGGGATTCCGATGTGTTCTGGGTTTTCCCTTTGATGCATCGAGCAAGGAGCTTCTCATCCATTAGCCGCTTATAAATGGGCAAAACAGCCAATCCCTGTGCTTTTGTCAGGAGAGGTGTGTGGCGTGGTGCAGGTTCACCAAGTGCTTCAGCGTGTTGATGTTTGCACCACGACTCTGTTCCTGCAGGGCAAAACTTGTGGCTGCCAGCATTGTGAGTAGAGCATGAGTGGAAGTACGAAGCCCATACTGCAGTGTACATATCCCGTACACTCCCCCTGTTGCTTGTTATGGCAATCTGATAGTATGTTTGAAGCTTCTGAATGGCTGGCTCTTTCATTTTCTGCCCTCGTGGTAATGGCACATGCAGCTTCCGTAGCGCGGTGCCAAGTCTCTTGGCCACATGATTAGTGCAGTCTTCTTTTTCTATATTGACAGCACCATAGACTTGACTCTGCAACTGCACTATATGCTTTGCTGTCACCGTCACTCAAGAATGTCATGAAATGCAGTGGGGTGTCATAAGTCAATGTTCTCTGCCAAATGCGCATTGCAGCCTCTGTTTCCATGGCATGGGAGGAACAGTCTGCATTTTTTTCACAGACTGGGCCATGGAATGCCTGCCACACTTCCTCGTCTGGGCCCATATCCTTGTGCCTACTGCATGTCAGGCAGTAATTTGATATGACCTCGAAGTCTAAGCAGAGGCTCGTATCTAAGGAGCTAACTGCGCCAATCCCGTTGTGGCTTTTGTGGCCCCTCTTCTGCCAAGTGCCGTCGAACATAACAGCCACATCAGTTTTGCCTGCTACTTCTTTCGTCAACTCTCTGGATCGGTGCAAGTTTTCACTCACAGCTGCCATGGCAGCGGTGTGCACCTTCTTTGCTATCGAAAAACATCCTCGGTGGTGCATTGGCTTTGGGAGTCCAATAATGGAGCAAAATCTCGACAATTGCTCATGCCCAATGCCGACAGCGCGTGCAGCCACCACCGCCTTCACATTTGCAGCGAAACGATCTCGGGAGCTCCCACTGTCGTACCGTTGGCTCACTCGGCTGCTGCCGTCCGCCGTAACACGCAGTGACGTATAGGAGCACGAAAGAACAGTTGCTGAGCTTTCGATGTTTTCGCGATGAAGTTCGAGGAGCGACGAAAGTCCCTTGCGCTTTTCTGCCGGCTCCCGAACGGCAAGTTTTTGAATACCGCAAGCAGGGCATGCCGCACCTGCCACAAGTGCCGTCAGCAAGAGGGTGTCGCACAAAACTGTCGTTGCACAAACCTCATCGCGCTGTCTTTCGTCTTTTTCGAAGAAGCCGAGCTTCTTTTCCGAACCCTTGACGAAAGAAAGCGCAGCGTCAATCCCTTCATCGCAGCCACTGTCGCTCGCGCACTCGTCTATGCCGCCGTCTGGCCTAGCACACGTAGGCGCGTTCTCGTTCGTCGCCGTCGTTCGGGGCGCTTTACGCCGCCTTCCCTTGAACTTGTGCTTCGTTCGAAACTTCTGCGGTCTCACGTTGCACTTTTTCGGGCTTGTCATCGCGGAAATATGCGTAGACGCGCAGAAAAGCAGACGGACCAAATGCCGATGGCCGCCACCAACACAGCTGACAATGACTCGGTAGCCAATGGCGATGCGGCTTAGGGTGCCGCGCGTTTCAAACCGCTCAAACCACGTGATAAAAAGGCCTCGTTTTTTATTTATTTATTTTTTGCCCACGTACGAAACTGGCGGTCGTCGGAGCTGTAAGAAGAAGGCCGGACGCAACTTTCCCAACCGATCGCGATGGCGGGCGGCACTGCGACGGGGAGCAGCGCGCAGTCAAAGATGGCCAATATCGGCGCAAATTCACGAAATTTTGAGCCACCGCGATGCCTTTATACACATTTTTTTGCATTTTACGGTTCGAATTTAGTTTTGAAATTTTCACAGAGGAAAGAAGAAGGTTTGAAGATTACAATGCAATAAAAATCAGAAATACGAGAAATTTCGCTAAAAACGAGATTTTTCGACTCGCATCTCCCCTTAATGCATATTTCGTACTTCAATAATGCACTGTTAGGGTTCCCATAGGGCTGATGAATTTTTTAGACCGATTTTTCAGACGAATTCACCCCTGAAAGTTGAATTTTTCGGACTAAATCGCTTGGGAGCCGCGCCACGAACCTGTGGACGCCGCCATGTTGGATTTTTTGCCGGCTTGACTAAGCTTGGTGACTTATTTTTAAAATGACTTTCCTGCCTCCGAGATTGGAAAGTGAATGTCATATTTCAGGTTTCGGAGGCCGAGTCGCACGGGACCATTTTCGCGGCTTCAAGATGAGGTATGGAATTCTGTTCAAGAAAGTGAGCGGTGAAAGCAGAGCGGTTGACCAGACTTGTGTCCGATTACCGTGTCACGAAGTTGAGATCCTTGCTTAAAGAATACGATCCTTCGGACATCTTCAACTGTGGTGAGGCAGGACTGTTCTTTAAGATGCTCCCGGACTGTACGCTAGCATTTCCGGGAGAATCATGCTCCGGCAGGAAGCTTAGCAAGAAGCACTTAACAGTGATGGTAGGTGCCAACGCCATCAGTACAGAAAAACTGCCTCTTTCTGTAATCGGAAAGGCGAGAAATCCTAGGTGTTTTAAGGCAGTGAAGACCCTCCCTGTGGACTACGACAGTAAGTCCAAGGCGTGGCTCCCGCAATTTTTATTTGAAAAATACCTACGCAAACTTGACCACAAGTTTGTGCAACAAGGCAGGAAAGTCACATTTTTTGTTGACAACTGTGGCGCGCACGGTAGCGTGCCGAACGTTAAGGCCGTTCGGCTGGAATTTTTGCCGCCTAACACCACAAGCGTGCTACAGCCAATAGATCAAGGTGCGATCCGAAACATCAAGGCACACTACCGTGCCCGCCTGCTCAGCCGCACCGTCTTGTGCCTTGACAATGGGAAGGCCTACAAGGTTGACATTCTGGTCGCCAACCATATGTTGGCCGAAGCTTGGAAGGCGGTGAAAGCAGACACCATTGCACATTGCTTTAGGCATGCCGGGTTCGTTGCTGCCCAAGAGCCCGAGGCGGATGACCTGAACGTAAGTGATCTGTACGGCATCGATGGCGGGGAGGACCTAATGTGCGACCTGCGCAGTGGTGGAGTGGATGTGCCAGCTACGATGACATTTAAGGACTTTGCTCGTGCGGACGATACCATTGTTTTGTGCGTGGAGCCCACAGATGAAGAAATTGTTTGATAGGTTGTGCCGCAGCCGGAGAGCGGCTCAGATGATGACGATTATTGCCCGCAGCCGTCGGCGACGCAGATCGCCACCGAGATGACGCTTTTGTCAAGCATTTACGGTGACGATGTCACCTTGGCGCAAATACGGGCGAACCAAATTGCTTCCAAGCATAGTATGAGGCAAGGCAGAACCATGGACTTTTTTTAAGCCTGCCTGATGCAATGAAGTTCATACTTTTGACAAAAACGAATTTTTCGGACTTTTTTTCGGTCCCCGCCAGGTCACAAAATCGGTTGGCGACTGTATAGCCCAATCTCACGGTGAAATATGAAAGCTGTACCTGAATGCTCACAAGTTTGTTTTTTTTGTGTGTGGAAATGTATACAATTGAGCTGCACCACCAAAATGTATAATTAATGTACTTACCCTTGAATTAGTGTAAACAGGATGTCAGGCTTGGTACAGATGTAGTCTACCGTAGGTGAACGTGTGCCTATTTGCCGTCGCAGGATGTTGTTGAAGATCTGAGCGACGTCTTTCTTGCCCTAAGAAGACAAAAAATCAGAAGCAAGCATTAGCCTTCTTGCTACACTACCAGCACAACCCATAAGAAAGTCAAGATGTTATTTAGGATACTGGATGATAATCCACACCATTTTACAAACTCACGTCCCCAAAAACATGTTGCACTGCATGCTCAACTAAAGTGAAATACATTAGTGCACACGAGCAATCTGCACAGCAGAATACAGTTGAAGCCTGCTACAACAAGCTCCGCTTCAACGAAAAATTCACGGTTCTCCATCAGCAGTCCATAGGAATCAATGCATAAATATTGTTGCCACAACGAAGACTTTTTCTCCTGCCGTACCACTTCAACAAAATTTCTCGATGCAATTCCAGGCTCAGATATTTATTGCTATACAGGAAACCCAATCTTTTAACACTTTGATGCATTTTGAGAACCTGGCAATACATCGACGAAGTCTAAAACACGCGTTAACACCACTAGAAACCGCCGCTGTTTAGCAAGCATGGGCGCCACCATTGCTCTATAGCGATGGCAATGAGACTGCCCTGCCTTTGCTTAGCCAGTGGCTTGGTTTCAAGCAGCAGACGATCCAAAGCTGAAGCTCAGTCGCTCAGTTCATGGTTTCCTTCTCGCAGCTGCTGGGTGCAAACGCAGCACGATGCCTTTTCCTATTCCGATGCTTATTATTTTTGCGCTTGGCTGGTGTGGTAACTAATCAGAGCGACTGTTCGTCCACATTATCAACAAAATCAGCCAGCCGCGAAGAATGGCATAGAATAATGCAAAAGTCGCCGCTCCAAGATACCCCTCCTTTATCTCGGCGTTGTCAGATACTTTTGATGGCGGACAGCTGCTGGTGTTAACGTGTTAATGCAACTGTTTGGTTCGTTCACAAAAGCGGTTTTAGGCCTTGTTTCAATGTGCTTTTCAACACGGGCTTGCTATGCATGGGTGAGAATCACGTCGCGACGCTGCTGAGAAAGAATAGAAAGCAGCGAACATTTTTTGAATTTTGAGAATAAACATTCCTTGGTTTTACTACAGCTCGGAGATCACACATTCATCCTCGCCGAGCGGGGATTTGTTTTCGGTGTCTGAATCATCTGCACCCCACAACATGTCATCCTCACTCGCATCCAGTGCGTTCGAGATAGCCGTCTTCTTGAAGCTTTTCCTGACGACTTCGTCGGAGATCGCCTGCCGCGCTTCCACGATCCAACCTCCAAAAAGCGCGGCGATTTGGGGGGTATCAGTAATTGATGGAACATCCATTTGTTTTCCGCTCATAGACGCTTTTTTTTCTCAAGTTTTATTTCGACAAACACGTTGGTTAGGTCGTTGCACTTCGAATTTTTTTTATTTGCTCGTCGATTCCAACTGTACCGCTGGGGGGTAGAATCGTTTCTGATCACGGCCAAGTTCGGGGTGCGCCTATTATGCGCGGAATTAAAAAAAATCGAATTTTCCTCGACCAAACTAGGGGTGCGCCGATTATGCGAGTAAATATGGTATAAGGCCACGCGGAGCCTTCCTGCACCCCTCCCCCAGGTCCGTGTCCGAGAGCTGGCTCGTCTTGAAGCCTTCCTCGTGGTGGCCATCCCCTCAGCGGCCGCCTTTGTTCTGCGCCACGTGCCGTGTGATCGTGCACTTTCAGTGCCACTATAAGGGTGCCACACCCTTTTGCTTTTTCTGCTCTGATAACGGCGCGTGGCAATAGATGGCGCCACGTGCGGGCGCGACACCCGGTATGCACGCGCCGAGTGAGCGGTCTCTCCTCCGTGGTCGGCGCCGGGTAAGCACGTGTTTTCCTTCGTCCGCGTCCCCTTTGGGAATCGCCAGACTGTAGCCTGCCTGGGGTGGGCTCTGGCACCTCGGCAGGCATGTTTACTCGAGCGCAGCTTCAATACCGTACGCTAAGCCCACAGCGGTGCCTACTGCTTGAAGTGGTCGTACCACACCGAGCCGCACTTGCCGTAAGCCTACGCGTACGAGGTTTGCCCTAACACTCGCGACCAGGCCCAGTGGCCATCGTGAGAGTGCGCAGCCTAGCCGCGAGGGACCTTTTCCCGACCAGCGTATCAAAGCTCGCCATTGCCTGCTGCGACATGCTCACGGTTTCCCCTTATTGTGAACATCCACGTGCGGGTGCCTTGGCTCCCCGCGTCCCGGGAGCGGACGTTGTACTGTTGTTCGGGGTGCCCGCAAGGGCAATAAAGTGTTGTGTATTTTTGTATTGAAACACTGTCTGTTTTTCCACGCAGCGCTAAACGCCTTATTAGTCGAGCGCGTGCGGAGTGGTGCGCTACACGCGAGTAGATGGCGGAGTCGCGGCCCTGTGGCTCGCTAAGTGTGAACCCGCGGTGATCATTCGCAGCAGTTAGTAGTGGGGTCACCATAGTGGCAAGCCTTCAAAATACACATAGGTTATGTTGCGCAGCTCTCCACATTCCACCAACTGATTTGCTACCTGTATCAGAATAGCATAGGGCACAATGAACAACTCCTGCCCCTGCATTGCCATGTAAATGTAGAATGTCTTCCTCCAAGAAGTCCCGTTCTTTGCCTCGTCTCTGTTGTTTCGCGATACACTGGCTCTGTTCACATCATGGTAGAGTTAGAGCGTGTGAAAAGGTTAGCTGCCCGATCAATAAACTCTGCTGCAACAACCTCATCTGTGGCCGTGGAGGAAGAATAACATGACAGGGGAAGCTCAGCTGCTTTTCGTGTAGTCACCTAGCAGAGCAGCAATAGACATGACAGTGCCACTGAACGAACTGCCGCCAAACTTAGAATAACAGACCTGAACTAGTTGGCAAGTCTAAATAGACATATGCCGACTAACAACTGAAGAATTGCGCCTATAGCCATAGCATGTAAAGCTTCTGTAGCATGCAAAAATAACAGGCCCGACAAAAGCTATTACGGCAAATGCGTGTACACAGCAGGTTATGTGCTGCATTTTAATGAAGGAGCAGATATTCTATGTTTACGTACAGCAGCATACTGTTAAAGATGGCACAAGGATCCAAGAATAAGTGTACCTCGAAGTCGATCTTAGAGAGGTTCTGCACCAGCAGGAGAAGAAGGTTGGTGTTGTACAGCTCCTGTGCCAATTGGGCCACCACAATGTCCGTCTGGGGCTCGGTATCACACGTGCCGTACAGCATGTTCTTCATCATCACAAGGTGCTTGGAGACATCTTCCTGGGCCTGCATGAACCACCAATAGAGGCACTGGCAGCGAACTGGTATGCACTCAACTTTAATCAATTTACGTTGCCTCTTCACTAAGACACCAAATTTTGAGGCTATGGAAAACCTGCTGCAAGGTTCCCCTGAAGACAAACACAATCCACACAATGTGTTGGACACAGCAACCACATAGAATATATTTTAATTTGGTTTCCAATGTGTGCTTAAGTTCTCGTTATCAAGATATAAGCAGACTTTAAGAAAAAAAATTACATTAGAAAGCAGTGCCTCACAAAGGATAGAAGAGAGCCTGCAAAATATGACAAAAAATGAAGAAACTACACTCGTGCACTGCCGTTAACCCACTGGGTGCGAGGCCCACCACTGCAGACGAAGGTGCTTCAATTGCTGCATCCTGCCAATAGAATAACGTGACCTCTAGTTGCTCTAGCGAAGTAAAGCGGACGATTGAATGTGTTGCTTCTAACCACAATTTCTGGCCTTTTCCTCTTTGAACAACATTGTTTTGCTTTTTACTTCATGCGTGTGGATCTCTAGAGACAACAGAATCATAGTCAAAATTTTTGGTCGCATGTCTGCTCTGAGCCACAGTGCACGACGTACGCGAAGGATCCAAGCGCAAGCTTTTAAATTCGTTACTACCCTGCTTTGCAAGAGTGCTGCCGGCTTTACTGCTGTCACCTGACATATTCCTTCATTATTTCCAGCTTTTGGGGTTTCCTGCTTGTAGGGGGCGTCTGTAGAATAAGCCCATTCTGTGCGACTTCTTTACGACGCTTTAAACTACTAGCTTATCAATGAAGTTGTAAATGCCATGCACTGGTATTTTCACTAGATAGCCAACACGGCTATTTTACCAGGTTTGAATTGGTTCATGCTTATGAAGTGTGAAAAAATGGGGATGAGGCAGAGATGCGTAACGGACAGGTGCTTGTCTTGAGTGTATTTCTACTTCGTCCCTGAGTTTTTCCAGCTAAATAAACATAAAACTGCTATCTGGACCACTGCCCTTCTAGCCTGCTGAGCCATTAAGTATGGAAAGCAAAATGGCCAGCTACACACAGAGCATTTACTATCACAATCACATTCTATCCAGTCGCAATCACACCCTATTTTCCAGTCATGACTGGCTTCTTTGTGCCAACTGCAAAATGGGTATATCATTACACATTTCCACCTGATGTGGCTTGATGGTAATCTAAAATACACTGTCTGACAAGTGTAGAAAATGCGTGCAGTAAGACGCAACAGATGAACCCACCAATATCGTGATACAGACATACTTGTACTCATGCAAAATGTCCTTTTAGCTAAAACTCTGAACCAGGCATGCATGTGCATACATGTGGCTTTTGTGTGTTTGCTTCCAATCATATGTGAGAAAATATTGTGGTTGTATGCAGCTCCAAGCATGTTGGTTGCTCCGCACAAAGTGGAAGAACCACACTTGTGCTTTGTAGGGTTATGTGTACTAAAGAGGAATTTAAGTTCGCTCATGCCAATTGTTTATCATGTCAACAGCAGCCAGTTCCAGAGATGAAAACCTACAATGAACGAAGTTAAGCGATGGTGATGCCTCTTTTGCAGTAAAAATGTATTTATCTGCTTGAAGCCCTTGCTCAAATCACACTACAGTAGACTCGCAATGATTCAAACTCTGATAATTCATACTTTTGGTTAATTCAAACAAATTTCAACTTGTCGGTTGACCCTCTATACTTTCAATGTATTTAAAAGCTTGTTAATTCAAACTTCATCATTTGGCTAATTCATACTTTTTGCAGTCCCACACCAGAAAATTGTTTTTTTGCTTTCCCACTACTATTTAAAAATTTGTGTGCTTATATAATTCTAACAGTCTCAAATTGAAAAATAAGCACTTCAGGCCTTCAAGAAACAATGCTTTGCTTGTAAACTAATGTTTGAGACAAATCGCACATATGGCAAACCATGATGTTTCTCAACTGGTATAGAGAGCTTTGTGCTGAAGGCACGGACCTATAGCAAAGAAGCAGTAGGCAATTCACAATTTTTTTAAAAGGTCTGATCAGCAGTAAATGGCCAATAAACTTGTTGACCTTACACCTTTGCTTTCTGCTCGTTGCGTGCAGTTGGAGTTTAAAGATACTTGAAAAATTTTTAAATGTGATAAAATCTCTGCCTGATGATAATGTGTAATGTCACCTTAACCAGAGTTATCTATCTGAAAACTTTTGATAATTTAAACCTCTTCATAATTCAAACAAAATTCAGAGGTCCCTTCGAGTTTGCATAAGCAAGAGTCGTCTGTAGATGCACTACTTCGATTCGACGCAAACTGGTTGGTTGGTCAAACTTTATTGGTAGTACTGGAAGATGTGACAAGTGCGCAATGATTCTTTACCTTTAACAAAAGCACTGCACTTGGTTTCCATGGCTTCGATATCATAGACCTTATAATACCACACTGGTAGTCAAGGTGATGTTTAAGTCACTTTGAGGAATGCAAGCCTTTTTTGGAACAGCTATTTAGCAATTCACACATCTCAGTGACAAAGTCACAGTGTCACTTGAGTGATTTTGTCAGAGTGAAGCCCCACAGTAATAATAAAAAGAAGACTGCGACAAAATGGCTACGGGCTGAGCGGGGCAGGCTGGAAGAGCAATGTAACCTAGCACTTCCGAGGACAGCTCTACATGGTGGCGTTACAGTATGTTTTCGCGCCCCATTGCTCTATCGGACAGAGAGAGTATGGTGTGCCCTAGTCAGCTGCTAACAGGAATGGTTCTCTCCAATTTTGAGGTGCTTCTATATCACACGCTGAGAAATGTGCCAGCAAAAAAACCTTTTCAACTGAAACACTCAGCCACTGGCATCGACACAAGTATCACTTTATTACCTCGGGGCTACCTTTGGAGCCGAAATGAGATTTCATGGACTTGAAGTGACTAAAGTAACACACTTCATGTCCTTTCGGCAGGACGCCACCAGAAGCGATATATCTTGTTATACTGATAATTGTGTCGTATTGACTGTGAAAGTTTAACTGAAACTGGACGGAGTTTTATCCACGACTACTGTGCGACATGCTCATGAGAAGCTTCAATCTTGCAGTGTGGCTGGGACCCTTTAAGTGGTGTCCCATAGCTCACTCATGCTGCATTATTTCCTCTTCAAAACTCCCACAGATTCATTTGCTCAAATTTTGTCAGTGCTATAAAAAGAAGAAACTCGTGTTCGCATGAAAGACAAACAGTGGGGTCAGCAAAACTTGAGGGATGGCACAATGCAAAAAAGGAACACCACTTAATACACAAAACAAGACATGTTAATTTTATATATAAGGACACACTAAGCATTGTGGACACTGCTGGATAAAGCCATGGTTCAAAAATCCTGTTGATTGGAGAATCCACTGCATGGGAAACATAGTTTTACACCAAGAGGTATACTCACGCGCAGTGCCTTTCCCAAAGTGGTGGGCAGCTTGCAGAGAAGGAAAAGCATGTTATCATGGGCACACGAGAGCGGATGGTGCAGGTGCATACCTTTTCAGCCTTCTTGTCACCCCGCTCCAGTGCCAGGACGGCCTCTCGAAGGACCTTGACCAGCTCGTACGGGCTCTTCTGGGACTTGCCAAACAGCGGCATGGCAGCACCGGGCACCACGTGTGCCGGCTCCGCCCACCTGCACCAACAAAAAAACGCATGTGCTCATTAACTTTGCATACTATCACTGCATCAACAAAATTGATATTGGTATACGCACCCATGAACATAGTAATATCTTATATTACACATCCAGGCACTAGCCCTATTAGCGGCTTGCAGTGCATTAGACTGCAGCATAATAATCGGGACTGTGAAAGGAACTCCAAGTCACCACTTGCTGGGAAACCAGCCCAGTTGACACACGTGACAAAAGTTATTTTGCAGGTAAAATGGCTGGCAACTGATAGCCCCTTGATTGCGATGTAGCCAAAGAGTTTTATGCCAGCATGCCGACTGTGGCTGAAAGCACTTGATCTTCAACAGCTTCCTCCATCTTTGAGTTTTGTGACGATGCATGCATACCGCATCTAGTTAAAGCAACGCTACCGAGTGCCAGATCCACACGCGGACAAAAATGTGGTCCTTAAGTAATGAAGATAGTGATATGAACAGCACCATACCGTTTCGATTGTCTGCAAATGCAGTTTTGTGCTCTGCGTGCTCTACGGGTAGTCCAAATAGACTTGGTTGCGACCAGATGTAACTGAATTAACAAAAGATTGATGCCATTAAAAAATGCATGAGCTGGCTGGCACAAAGGAACACATCCAAATTTTCCAAATTTCTGAACTACCGAGCTTTTATTCAATAGGTAAAGACTAAATCATCGAAGAAGTTAAAGACCCCAAAGCCGGCAGGCTGCCTAATCACCCTAATTATTTTGCTTTGTCAACAATCTTCTGGTCTTTATCATGGGGCCCACCAAAAACACCACACACAAAACAGATCTGTTCTTGAGATTCTGCAAGGTGTTCCGAGGACTGATGCTTACCAAGGAACTTTCTGACAATAATCGCATTTCCTTCATCGAAAGCTGCACCTTACCCCCACAACATGTTTGATACATGTACGCCCCTGTTTAAGGAAACTTTTACTTCCTTACAGCTTCAACTGCTCGTAGTTGGCCAAACGTGTTGTTTCTCTTGCCACCATGAATAATGCACCGATGAAGTCGCGTCCTTACCTGATTCTGCTAAGTTTTACTTTGCAAATTGACAGACTAAGAGCAGCTGGATTTTTCTAGTTTCTTTTGTGTGATCGTGTGGAGACCTTATTGCACATACTTCAGAAAAGTGGTGATGTGCCTACAAAAACATACACAATAAAGTGTTATATCATACGTCTACCAAGTGTATGACAGGATTAAGGGGAGATTCTTTTTTTTAATACTACATTATTACTGTTTTTACTTCTTTCGCAAGTTTAGTTTCTCTACTTTCATAAAAAAAAATTTCAGTAAGTTCCAAGTAGGTTCAAATCTTCTTTAAAGGGCCACTCACCAGGCCCCACACCAAGTTTTAGACAGTGAAAGTTGCTCGGTGTCCGATGAGGAACATTTTGCCACAATAATTGTTTTAATCGGTTCATCACGAGCGGAGAGAACGGATTTTTTGAAGCGTTTTTTTTTTATCGGTTCATCACGAGCGGCGAAAACAGGTTTTTTGAAGCGGTGCGAAACAAGGATGAGAGGAGGCGAGCTCGAAACCCTTGCCGCTCCTTCGCGTAGCCTTCGCAAGCCATATGTGCTCCCCACCCTCTCAGGCATCCGACCAAGAGGTCACGTGCGCATGATGTGCCCAAACAAGTCCAACCCCCATGCAAGCGAGCGGCGTTGCTTTGTTGACCAGCATTATTTTGTGGTCTTCTGCCTGTTTCTGCAGGATGGTTTGGAAACCTTGGCTCAGACGTGGTAGAATAAATGAGCACAATGAGTGTGCAAACACGTAGGAGCATTCTACGGCGGTCGTCTGCTCGATGCGCCGACCGTGGGTACACGCACGCATGCGAAACGCCGACATGTTATCCACGCATCTTGTTGCAATGCCCGGGAGAAAAATGGAAAAAAGACCCTCACATTCTCTCGTTGCGTCTCATTATTTATCTAGTGCTTTAATAATCTCTTCAAGCAACAAATTACATAAACTACGCATGCCATGTTAAATAATTTTCGCCATGTCGCGCACCACTGTTTGCAACGTTAGAGCAGAGTGGTCTAAGTAGAGGGCCAACGTAGCAGCATTGCAGTGTACGTAGGGCCATTCATACGCGTACGTCATGTCCTCATTCTCTAGGCGCGCGCCTGCAGAAGGGAGGGGGAGCAGCGTTCATCTTGAAATTTGACCCATTTCCGTGGCACGTAGCGTTGCAAATTTTTGCACACGTGGTCATGAACGCTTCGTCTACCCATTGCGCTTGTCAGCTCGAAATTGTCGAACATTGTGAGTGGCCCTTTAATGTTCTCACGATGGCTATTGAAAACTACAAAGCCCCGATTCTCTAGAGCCTTCTGGAAATTGCTACTTGACACTATGTCACTGCATTTCACATGAGGTGTTCACCAAAGTCACATGCTCAAAATAACCACAAATCCCAAGCTTTCAAAACTGAAAAAATAATTTTAAAAAGCTTATGTTTGCCACAAAGGTGAGCTTTCATTTCTATATTTAAAATGCATTTTTTTTTCTCAAAATGTAATTGCAGGCAACTAACTTCTTGAGATTGGACATCACACTTTGGTACTACTGATGGCCAGATCGGGATGAAGATTTTCCCCCATATTAACATGAGAACAGTGCAATCATCATATTTGAAACCTGATATCACTTTTGTAATTATTATAAACCTAAAAAAAAGCAGTTAACATGGGCTGAGCATTTTAAAACTTCACATTAATAACTTTTCCTGTTCATTGAAACGCCTAATACAAACTTTCTTCTTAGTTGTTTGCACTCTACATTTAACATGGAGCAATATGAGCCATTTACAGCTCACAACCAGAGAAAAGTTTGGTGGCATACAGTCTGTCTAAAATGAGCTATATTTTATGCATTGTCATGATGCAAAATAAAAAACTATGCAACTTACTGCAAAACTGATTACACATTTGAAATAAGCACAAAAATCTACGTAAACAAAAAAAATTACTGCTCCAGGCAGCAGATTACAGACTTTTTTTTTTCAAACAACATCTCTTCTTTAAAAGGCTTTGGGGTGTGCGAGTGTCAGCTTAGTGTTATCTGCCCCCAACAAAGCTTATGAAAACGTGTAAAATTAGCAGTGAAAGGCCTGACACATGCAGCAAAACACACGTCATGTGGTTTAAATCTTGCAAATGCGGTGTTGCGTATAGAATCCCACTTTCCTGTGGGCGTGTTTACATAGGCTAAATTGACCAATGTATCAATGGTCGCTTGGGTGAATGTGCCAATCGTAGAAGAATTGCATCAAAGCATGATGTTAAAGTTGTACTGTTCACACCTAGTTCACACCTTGCAAACTCTCAAAGTTATGTGGCATGACAAACAAAGGTAAATGCCCCGGCTGCACAACCAAACACAGGAACAAGTTCACTGAGAGTACTTCCAACATTGTTTGCAAGATTCCTTTAAGTTGCGGGTGCTAGCACAATGGCAAAATTGGCAGGGGTTTCAACGACAGGATGAAGGAACATGATTATAATGCACGTAATACGACTAGCGGTTTTCTGGTGGACCATTGCAGGCGTTGTGGCTGCTCTCCTGATTTTCGCAGCACACAGTTTTGAAAGAAGAGGGATAATACAGAGCGTGAAATTGTCCAAGCTTTTTCATTCATCAAGCAGGTGACAAATGTGTTAGCAGGCCTTCCATATCTTTGCCCGATGCTGAAATTATGTATCTCAGTGGTTTAGTTTGATTGCACTTTTCCTTTGTGCCCTTGTTCCCTCTCATGCACGCATGGGTTCCTTTAAACATTTTTATCATTTTCAGTATCTTATTTTTCTTTCACTGGTTAAAACCAGCCTTGTTATCATTCATCATGCTTTTCACCTCTTCTCAACCATGCTTTTTCAGCACATATATATGCGCAGATGACGGAAATGAAAGGTCAGTTGTTAGTCAGCGCTCCTTGTCTCTAATGTCTTTCGTTGTTTGCGTCTTTGCACTGCCCCATCAAAACGAGAACTAAGGTACTTATCTTACAACAAAAGTCAGGCAGCAACATGGCCTTACACTGTGCGACTTGAGGCTGTTCTTCCTCTTTTGACCAGGCTGTCAATATTACAAAATACCGAGACCGAATTGTATGAGAAATCTACGAGGCATCATGCATAGAACAGCACAGACCCAGTTGCGTCAGCATGCCCTGTTTTCCTCTAGAAAAAAAGAACTTGCACTTTCGCAAAACTGACAAATTTTAGTGTTGTCTATACCTTTCTAGTTTTAACCTCCTAAAGAGCTTTTTCAATACCATTAGACATTTAAATTACCTGAACTATTAGACCCTTCAAAGATACTTTTTAATACTTAGTCTACCTTTAGACGACCTCCTTTGCAAAGCTGCACACGGTGTTTAATTCACGCTCACACTCAAGAAAAAAAGAGTTGGAACGGAGTTTGCGGGTGATCAGAATTTAAGACTTTATTGTACTGCCCATGAAAAACCTATTCACTGCCAATCATAAAGGACATTTTTGTTTTTACGGTGCCCGATTTAACCATAGCACAACTTCTTGTGTATGAAGATTCACAGTTGTTTGCTACTGACTGGCTTGTTCAATTGTCTGCACATGCCATACAATATTTCAGATGGTTCGGCAATGCTTCAGTCCGCTGTGCAAAAGAAAGGAGTGCAAGGAGTACTTGGGTGATGTACTCAGGTGCACCTACCAAGGAATACTGATTGGCTGGAGGTTGTGTTCACCATGTCTTACCTCCAACGAGTTAAAGTGATCAAGACAAAAGGGCGACCGAATTATTAAACATTTTGGTGTGAGCCTTGAAGAAAAACGACTCATGCGGTCAGCATGGTCCCCTTTGTTGGAAGCAGAGATCGTACCTACCTTAGCAGAGCCACCTTCGCAATGAACTTCACATAAAAAATAAGCATGCAAAGACAAGCTTTGAGCTTTCCAGTTCGTAGAAGCTGGAGCACATTGGCCTGTGCTATCTACATGCTCTTCTTGGGAATAGTCGCCGGGGCTCCCCGCTTTCCAGGGGCCACAGTGAACAAATGATGCGCTGGCAGCACATAACGAGATGGCCGTTGAAGAGACGGCATACAACACAAGTATTCTCCTTGCGTTCTGATCATAGACTGCCTTACGTCCCGAGTAAAGAACATGCGTAAGTGGAGTGCCTTGCATGTCGAACCTGATTTACGCTGACATCCCGTGGGCACAAGTTCATAATGAAAGCATGGAGCAGCTAGTCTTACGGCGCGATTAATAATTCTCCTTAGTCAGACCCATCGATTATTTTCGACTAACACAGTGTCCTTGGTTTGGCCAACAAGAACGATAATTTTTGGAAGACTAGCCACAACACCCTTTCAGGTTCACATTCTTCAAACTGTGCATAAATAATTGTTCTCTCGTCACCCGACGCTGGGACTCCGCAAAAGCACACTCACGCCCGTTCGGGAGGCTTTTAGAAAGACAATGCCCAGTGAGCCAGGCCAAAATAGATGAGATGGCGAGCCCTGGCAGCCGTTTTAGAAAGACAACGGTAAATGACATTGGTTGTTCGGCGAGCGTGCACTTGAGGCCTAGTCCCCGTGGTAAGCCTAAGAGTATTTACAAACTGTCGAAAGCCCGATGGACTCGGCCACGGTGTAAGGAGACCCCAGTTAGGTATCTCACCTTTGCAGTCGAGGATGACAGAGGGGAGCGAGCTCGGTTGCACTGGCGGCAGCACAGAAATCAATCACGGCTCTTCGCAAATACACGCTGAGCACCACACCATCATAACCACTGACGTAAACAGCAACGACATAGGAGCACCAACGCCTAGCCCGAGTGCGGCATTCCCAGAAAGCCACAAAGTGAAAAATTCTACTTCTTTATACTCTAGAATAAAGTAAGTTTGAAGATGTTGGCTTTATTTAGACCAAACAACACTATGTTTTTGGTTGTAAAAAGAGCTAGCTACGGCACTGCGGCCTGCAACCAAGGAAATCCCCGAGTAGTATCAGTGGTTTCGGTTCGGTAGCAGTTTCCAAATTCATGTGCAACGAGAAAAGTAGGCCGACGAGCACCTTGCTGGATGTCGAAGCCAGGTTCGTATCCCGCTACATTTGCTCTCAGCATGGTCCTCCTTATTGTAGGTGCTTATCGTACGAAGACCGTTTTTCTTTTTCTTGCAACGGCGTCTTTCGATCGTTAAACAAAACTTCGTGCTATCGTCACTATCGTTCTGCCAGCTGGTTTGTTCTCAAGGAGTAGCTGCTGTGGTGCTTTTTTGCCCGTGCTTTTTTTTTACCCCGTTTCCAGTATAAGCAGCGGCTTAGGCCGACGATACTAGTTAAGGTTGTGCTCACTTGTCATCTTGCGAGTCGCGTGTCTTGTTGCCATCATGTTTCTAGCAGGCCAAACCGGTTACAGCAACTGTGTCGTCGTTGGCATGCAAGTTCTAAGTATTCTACCTGTTAAGAGCTGAGTGGGTCTGAAAGTATTCGCTTCCGAGGTATAGCGAGATGTTGGTCGCACAGTTTGCCTAGCAGTCCTTTCACCATCCTTTCAACCTGACTGGGGAAAAGGGGACTGCCAGTCACGGGGATGAAACCATTGGCAAACTGCGCTCATGAGGGGAAAACGGTGGACTGATCTCACGCCTGCCGTCATACCATGCCGAGCTGATTCGATGTTGAGTACCTCGATAGCTGCAGATGCTGTTCATATTGCTGGCTGATAACCTCAGGGTGGCGAGTCCACCGCGCAAACGTTTGTGGTCTGCTCTGGAAGAATATACATTTATGCCGAGAACCTCGGATGGGCCATACGCTAAAAGTGGGGGGTATATGAGTGGCTTGGCTGGATTTATGCAAGTAGTGCTCTGCTCCCATTTGGCTACCATGTCACTTATTTCTCAGCCACCACCCCGAATCTCCGAGTTTTACGTTACGCCGTTTTATATTTTGATGACCTTTGTGCAGCAAAATCAGGACTGCTGCTGAAGGAAGTAGGCAACTCTATGCACAGGCTTTTGAGTAAAAGACTTTTGCAGACTCTTATCTCGTTAGCTACCCCAGCATACTTCATTGAATGCAGTGGCAGCTTAATTGTTCAACTGAGGCCATACGTTGAATGAATGAAATAAGGGACATGCACTCACCTTACGTGTGAGATTAGTGCCAACTCGATTCAATGGGGAAGCTGAGGGTGCATTCTTGACAACTTCTGTCGCCAACAATTCCGTCTTATCAAGGTGAGAAAAAATCTTTGGTGGTTTCCTTGAGAGAGCATTGGCAGTTGCTATTAGTTTTCCCGGAACATACTATTTAGTGAACTGGTAGTGCATGTACTATTTGGTCAGTGAGGGAGCATAACAAGTGCTATTCTGAAAAGAGTGGCTAGTTGTTAACAGTCCTTTTCCATGACAAAGTTTATGCTGCGTGACCTTTGCATCACCATGTAGCTTCATTCTCTTTCCGACTCTACTCAGTGGCCAACATGTCGCAAGAACCAAATTATTGCGTCCTCCTGTAGGTTGCACGCTAGGCTTGAGCACGTGAAGCATGTGTAACAAACAAAAGTTTGTTACACAAGAATGTGTCCCATATACATTCTTTGAGTTTCACACAACCTGAAATAAATAGCATGGTGTCGAAACATGCACATTGTATTCTTGGTGTCGGACAAGCTGAGCAGTCTGTGCCAAAAGAGCAAATGGGAGTGAATGAAAAAAATGTGTCTGCGATAAGAACCACCGAAACAGGCTTGTAGTGTGCAACACATGTGTAATCTGCTGGATCCCATTAACTTGTGCCTGCTATGTGGGACAAAGCAATAGGTGAATCGTTGAAGAGGCTCAGATTTGGGTGCACGTTAAAGAACTCCAGGAGGTCGAAATTCCTGGAGCCCTCCACTATGGCATCTCTCATAATCGTATGGTGGTTTTGGGACGGTAAACCCCTCATATCAATCAATCAATCAATCGTTGAGAGGCTAAAGGAGCACAGGAACAAAGTTGGGAAGATGGAACCCGACCAATTACTCAAGCTCACTGGAAAAGTGTAGTGCGTATGCCAACCTCTCTTTGATCAAATAAGTATTCTTGGAAAGAACAGTAACGAAATGTCAAGGCTATTAATTGAAGTGCAATTCACAGCCAAGTTTGGTAGCACATGTATCATTAAAATAGCTATCTCTTTATCAGCTAAAGAAATAGAATTTTTGAGAGAGACGTGAAAGTGTGTATTACACCTATGGTTGTTCCTTTGAGCATGTGTCCTGATGTAGGGTATGTGCACTGCTGATGCGGTGAATATATCAATAAAAGTTAGCACTTTGTATGTGTGTTCTTGCGTCTTTAATTTGGCCCTTCTTAGATGCACCATTTGTTTCGACCACGCAGGTATCGTAAACACATGTGAGCTTGCGCTCTCCAAGTAGTAAGGAAAGGCAGTAGGTGTTACTTGAGCCAATATACAGCGTGTTTTTTATTTCTTATAAAAATGCTCCATCAGTCATGCTTCAGTCATTTTCGCACACATACTTTACATCAAGGCAGGAGTACTTTGCTGCAACTAAAACGACATTCATGAAACTTAGTTTAATAAATTGTTAAATTTTTAATTATTAGTATGAGGGAAGCTTTGTATATTAGGAGATTGTAGTGTGTGCCAATTTATGGCACTGCAATTTTGTAGAAGTTGCAGAAATCGCATGTAATTCAAATATGCATTATAGAATGAGTTTTTAGAGAGGGAAATCGAAACTGATTGCACCCGGTGTTCAGAAATTACGGTTTCTCTGTTCTGCAAGCAGAACAATGCATAGATGGGGAAGGAGAAAAGGAAAGAGCGGAAGTGGGAGAAAGCAAGAAGCTTGGCGACGGGCCCCTCTGACGCCTGTGCCTTCCAAAGAGATGTATGTTTTCATCATGACTGTCGGCATCTTGTCCGAGAAACGAGCGGTGCTTTGAGCATCCACTGCAATAGACTGGTCGTAGGGGCTCTACGCTTACATAGCGCATGGTATAATGCTAGGTAGTTACTTTTGATCATTGTTTTTTCTTTCTCTTTCATTATCCATTTGCTTGTTTAAGTACCAAGAGACAGGAAACACATTGACGGTGTCTAGAAAGATTCTAGTGTCTCTAGCAGTTTTTACCACTTGTTAAGCTTCTTGTGTGCCTAAGTGACAGAGTAAAGGCAGAGTAGTGCTAGTCGATCCAATTTAAAAAGTTTTGTGCATGCATAAAGAGACAGTCAGGGTTTGAATGCAAAGAATCAAACATAGTTATTTGCTGGCTTGTGTGTATTTTCAAAACCAGCTGCACGCCGAGTGCCATTTCATTGTCTAAGCTGCTCTATGCAGAGCCATCATAGAGGGATCTGGTGATGATGGTGGCATTTTCGCTTATTTCTGCACTTTTGGGGCATTTGGGCTCCAAAATAATTGGTGATCCGACTTCCCAAAATGGATTGTTGACCCCAACTTAAAAGTGTTTCGGAGGGGTGCTTCGCCAACCACTGGGCTAGAGAGGCACCACACCAACCACTGAATCGCACTTCACCAGAGGGCAGTGGTTGGGGGCACACCTCTCTCAATATAAATTCTTGCATGCGCTTCTCCGTTTAATATCTCTGTTTGTATTTAATACACTTTGTTATGCATGTGCATGCAAAGTTTTGTGGTCGTGGCACTTATATGCTTTGTTGCGAGAAAAATAAAGCGGTTATCATTTAGTGCCAGTGCTTGTCTCATCTATTCTGTGCGGTCTCTCCCGGTTTATGCTGAAGTTTTCACCTTAATGCTATGTAGCAACTAGGTCTAACAGACGTCTTATTACAGTGGTGCAAACTTTGAAATATTTAATGGCCTTAGCATATTTGCATGTTTTAGATATATAGATTACTTCGTCTGTCTCAAATCAGGCATAATATGTAACAATGAGGATGTCTTCTACGTATTCAAAAAAGTACATATAGGTCTTCATTTCACTTCCAAAAACCCAGAGCAATCTAGACTACTGTGCCTTGATGTAGAAATCAGGCTTTAAATTCTCCAGAGGTGCTGGCATTATAACACTAGAGAAAAGAAAGAAGTTCCTAAGCTTCGATCATATGCTTCATTCGGGGGCGGCTTAACAATGTTGCATTGCAGCGGGTTATTTGTTATGGCAGTTTTACTGGAGGATCACGCTCCAATGAAGGACATTCAATTTATGTGCCTAAGGTGAGTGCAGACCTGTGTGCAAGAGCTTTTTTCAATAGATTTGCATTTTAGCCACTGTAGAATGGGACATGCCAACTATATGTGTAATGATTTCGAAACAGGCCTATGCTAATGTTAGTAGTGTGGCTTGCAGAGCTAAGTGTGCGCAGTGACGGCGATGGCATGGAGTCCTTGCCACGAGACATTCCAGTCCCCCTGAGGAGGCGCGAGCCAAAATTTGTGCCCTATGAGCCGTACAAAGCCGCGGTCACTCCCCTATGTGAGACGGACACACGCTGCAGCAGAACCCGGTTGGCGGCGCTGGAGATCCCCTTCCCCTTGCACCACCCACCTGGCAGTGGTGAGGAGCCACCTCTGCTGGCAGTGGTAAGGGAGGTGCCTGAGGGCACCCCGCCCTCTCCTTCCTCCCAGGGGGCTCCACTGGAACAGCGGCTGCAGGAGGCACACCAGTGCACTCAGGACCTGCAGGAACAGCTGCGGGTTCAGGTTGAGGTAGGTAACAGCAGTGTGCTTGTGTGGCAGGGCACTTCTATTGCTGAAATATGGCATCGGGCTCGGTCAAAGGAATACTGTGTTTCAGGATGTCCATGCCAGCACGCGAGGCACCA